GAGGAAAGAAGCTGTCATCTACCTCCCTTCAAGGTCTTTCAAAGGGGAAATCAACTGTGTGTGCATGTGTGTATGTGATCTTAAAAAAAAAGAAAGCAGTATCAGTCACAGCCATCCCTGTTAACATGGGCAGACAGGCAATAACCTGACATCAAGAACCGTCAACATGTTTCTTGTACTCTGTCCTCCCAGCCCCTGGGGGGCAGGTCTGAGAGATGAACCCATAATAACAGAGCACCCACATCACAGCATGGGAAGACCATTAAGATCTTCTCATATACCCCCTCCCCAATGTCCAAGTCTTTTCTTCAGTGTTCCTGACAAAGAAGCAACCTTTCTCTTGAATGCCTCTAGTCACAGGGAACTCACCCCTCACTGGGATGTTTCAAACATCTCCCTTTCCAAATTCCTCTAACAACTAGAAAGTTCTTCCTGACCTAAGAGCTTAAACTTGGGGCCAAGTAACTTCCACCTCTTCTCCTAGCTTCACTTTTTTTTTTTTTTTTTTTTGCTGTACTGAGTCTTCGTTGCCTTGCAGGGGCTTTCTCTAGTTGCAGTGAAAAGGGGCTACTCTTCATCACAATGCACAGGCTTCTCTTGTTGTGGAGCATGGACTCTGGGGCTTGCAGGCTTGGTAGTTGTGGCTCATGGGCTTAGCTGCTCCATAGCTTAGCTGCTCCACGACACATGGAGTCTTCCCAGACCAGGGATCAAACCCATGTCCCCTGCGTTGGCAGGCAGATTCTTTTCCACTGTACCATCTGGGAAGTCCCTAGCTTTGCCTTTGATGTCACACACACACACAAACATAACCTCTCTCCAGTCTCCTTTCCATGCTGACATGGTTTTAAGTGTCTTCACCAGTCTGCCTACTGCTTTCTGAACAAGATCCAGGTTATGAATAATATCTTCAGAATGTGGGTCCCACAATGAAAGACATAAAATTGCTGCCTCAGTTATTACCACTGTGAAGACACAAGTGTGTGTATGCAGGTAGAGATGAAGTTCCTGGAGCTGCATTTTCACGCATTTCACATTTCACCCCATATTCTCAAATGCCTTGCTGAAATCCCAGTGTATTATATCCAAGGCCTGCTCCTGATCTATCACATTTGCTTTATCCAGAAAAGAACTAAGAAGGAAGGGTGCCCAGGAATGGGCTTAGCCAACCACATGGGGTCGACAACACAGGGATGGGCAGGACCTGTGCCTTCCTTGTCCTGGACACTAATCTATTCATTCTACCTCAGGTTACATTAACCAACAAGGAAGCCAGAGCTCATCACTGACTCCAACTGAGCTTCAGGCCAGGTAACAGGCTGATTTTGGCTTTAATATAAGGAGGTGGTGCTAGTGGTAAAGAACCCACCTGCCAATGCAGGAGATGCAAGAGATACAGGTTCGATCCCTGGGTTGGGAAGATCCCCTAGAGGAGGAAATGGCAACCCACTCACTCCAGTATTCTTGCCTGGAAAACAAAACTCCATGGGCAGAGGAGCCTGATGGGCTCCAGGGGCTACAAAGAGTTGGACATAACTAAGCACGCACACACACACACACAACAGAAGAGCTGGTATGATAATATGATGTATGTCACTATCCAACCCCAGAAGAGGCCAGCATTGAGCTTCTAAAGGCCCCTGGGTGGGATTTTGTGCAAAGGTCCTAAAGGGGTGGAAAGTGAAAGTGTTAATCATTCAGTCATGTCTGACTCTTTGTGATCCCATGGACTGTAGCCCACCAGGATTCTCTATAGAATTCTCCAGGCAAGAACACTGGAGCGGGTAGCCATTCCCTTCTCCAGGGGATCTTCCCTGCCAGCAATCAAACCTGGGTCTCCCGCATTGCAGGCAGATTCTTTACCATCTGAGCTGCCAGGATTGGGCAGGAGGGAAATGCTTTGAGTAGGTCAGGCGGATGAGGAAGTTCATGGAAAAAGTGAAAGCTTCCACAGGACTGGGCCGAAATGGGGATACAGTGGCCAGGACAAGAGCCCCCTAGGCCCATGGTACTCAGCAAGGAAGGCTGCTGTCAGGGGCATTTTGAACCCTTCTAGAGCAGAGTGTCCAAGAAACAAGGGTAAATTCCAGGGCCAACCCCCAGCTTGAAACAGCAGGGAAGCGACCTTACAGACAGTGAGCAGACAGAGCAAGGGCCCAGTCAGTATTCCCGGCTCTGGCCCCACAGAGGCACAGGTGTCCTGGGCAGTCCTAAGGAGGTGAGAACTAACCCAGGAGATGACTGAGGCTGAATTTCCATCCAGGTCCACTGGGGAGCAGAGTGAGTCTGACTCACAGAAATAAGAGCAGTTAAAGCTGTATCTCAGGGTCATCAACACCCACCACGTCTGCTGCCGTCACTCTGCGGAGCTTCCCCTTCAGATGTCATATAGTGGTATGGGGGACCCAAGCGCACTGCTTCATATTTACTTGTGGTGAAGTCTTCCTTTGATACATCAAAGCAGCCTTTTCAGTCTTGCAGAAATTCACCTAGCTAGACTGTTTTCCATTCCATGTATGTTTGCTGGCTTCATTCTAGAGGACATACTGTCCAATGCCCAGCAGAAAATCAAATGTCCTCTGTCTGCACATTCTGCATCTATCAGCACAGTGACCCGCTGCAGAGAAGTGAAAGTAGAAAAGAACACAGGTTAATCTGGCCTGACTGGCTCTTGGCAAACCCATACTGGCTCAGAGAGGTCACTACTGTCTTTTCTAAGGGCTCGTTGAATCCGGTCAAGCTCACCACCAAAGATCAGGCATCCCGCCCCCACCCCACCTGTGTGGCCGTGCTGTCTCCTGAGGTTTATGAGTCAGAGTCCACAAGCAGACGATGAGACAAGCAGCATGAGGAAATCACAGGGAAGCTGGAAGCCAGACCACTGATACACATTTTTAATTAAAAAAATGGTTTTATTAACAAGTCTAAAGAAAACTTTCATTGAATCAAGGGGTGTAATACAAATTATAGCGACCTGCATATAAAGCCTGGCACCGAATCTGGCCTCTTAGAAAGATTTATATGTAAAAATATGCATTAAAACCTGCACCATAAATAGTGCAGAGGTTAACTGACACCCCCCGATAGAAGGCCTTACCAGGGCGGTCTGGTCTGTGGACACAGGGAGCTCTCAGGCCCACAGCTTCAGGGGTAAGACTTGTGACAGCGCCCTGTTGGTCTTTGAAGGCAGGACTCCCAAGAGCACCAAAATGCCACAAGCCTGACATGAAAGAAAAATGGTGCTGGGAAGACAGGCAGGAGAGAGTGCTGTCCTCCTCACCCTCCTTACTGGGCTCTGACTCCTCTTCGAGGATTCTGGAACTCTGCAGACAGACCACCTTTAACTTTAGAAGAACTGCAACTTCCAACTTCTGCAAATGTGCTTTTTCCAAGTAAGATGCCTAATTCTAACTCAAGAAACCAAGTTATAATTGGCCTGATTTTAAGATGAAGAGTTGGTTCTGATGTTATTTTCTCCTGGTCAAGACCCTGACATACCTGCCTGAGTGGCTTTAATCACAACAAAAAAGAATGATGACAGCAGCCTCGATCTAGTTCTGTCTTAGACCCAAGGCAACCAAGCAATTTTAGCCCAGAAAGTTATATTGCATGGACAATGAAACGAGAAGCAGCTTGGATCAACTTTGGAATCTGCCCCCATCCCCACTCTGGGTGCAAACTACCTCACACAAGGCAAGAGAAGCCTTCAGGAGAATTTGGGTCAGTACAGGACAGAAGTCCCCAAGGAAGAAGACGTAGTTTCTTTACTGGTAGGCCTGACATTTTGGCTGGTCAGGGTCAGAACTGTTTGACCACTGGCTTATTCACTCATGGAGGGGCTACTGTCCTGGGTCAGCTCATCCTGTGGTTCTGTGAAAACGGGCAACCATCCCTGACTCATCTCTGCTAAGCTGCTGCCCAAATAGCAGGGCTCCACAGACTGGAGAAGGAAATGGCAACCCACTCCAGTATTCCTTGCTGGGAAATCCCATGGACAGGTGAGCCTGGTGGGCTACGGTCCATGCAGTTGCAAAGAGTCGGACACAACTTAGCAACTAAGCAACAGATGGGAACACACAAATGGGGACCAGGAAGAAATGGAAGGCGGTCACAGGGGAGCGCAAGGAAGAGCAAAGGGCAGAGAGGGGTGCCCTGTGGGCCTCCAGTAGCTGGCAAGGATAGCAGGCCTCCACAACTTCAGAGCACCTACTAGTTACTAAAAGGACGGGGAGGTAGACAGCGGTGGCGGGGGGGGGTCCCTTCCTGTCAGACCAGTGGGTTCCACAGGGAAACCGGCTGCCCTGCCAATTTTCTCTCCAAACGCCGAGTGATTTTCTCAGCTACCTCCAGGGTGGTTTTTAATCCCTTCCATGTCCCCAGCCTGAATGTCTTGCTGTGTGGCAATCTGATGCTTTCCCTCAACTGTGGCAATAAGTGAAGGGAGGATGAAAGGGTCTGAGTCACAATTTAGGCAAAAAGCCAGGAGCCCAGTCAGGCTGTTAATGAGGGACATCCTCTCTCAAGCAACGCATTACTGGACTCGAGAGCTCAGGGTGAGAGACAGACGCTCCTGGTCACGGGGGGGTCATCACCACACATCCTGACAGACCAAGGTACCAAGGACATTTGGCTCAGTTACTACGGCTCTTTCAGGACAGGAGGCCAATCCTGGCGGCTCCTTCACCAAGTCTCAGGGCATTTTAATCCACTTAAAAGTGACCTGACAACACCCTCTAGTGGAAATTATAAATAAAACAAGGGCTGTGTGTCTGATTTACCTTCTGAGGCCAGAGTGGTTTCCAGAATCCCCATAAAACGGAATAAAATAACAAAAACAAAACATTTTCTTTAAGAATATAATAATAAAAAAAAAAGGTCAGAGTTCACAAGTCATCTGTAGGCTCCTCAGTGCCGAATCACCTTCCCTCCTCACACACTGCCTTCAATACATCCTAAGAAAGGGGGGCACGTTGTATGTGGGGAGGGGGGCACTGATCCCCTCAGAGTTTGGGCAGACTGCCTGCTGGTGCCAGGATGATGCCGAACACATAGAAGAGGCCCAGCAGGAGGTTGAGCTTGGCCGTCTTCTGGGGCAGTTTGTTGAAGGTCTGGCTTCGGAACTGTCTCTCAAGGGAGAAGGCCATGGGGATGGTGAGCAGGGGCAGAGCCAGGCTGATGCTACAGTGCACCGCCAGGATGCTGAAGACCAGGTAGGGCAGGAAAAGCAGGGTGTTGTAGAGCACATAGGAGAGCGTGGGCCCAATGAGGATGGCGAGCGTGACGATGCCAGCCTCCCGGTCCGACTCCATGTCCCGGGTGTTGTTGGAATGCAGGATGGCCTCGGTGCTAAGGGCGAGGGGGATGGCGTAGAGCAGTGGGAAGACCGCCAGGGACCCCACCTGGACGGCGTAGGCGAACATCACAGCCAGCGGGCCAAACGTGATGAGGATGACGAGGTCCCCCAGAGCCAGGTACTTGAGTCCAATTCCTATGGCCAGAAAACCCAGAGAGTTGGTGTGAGATCAGGGCTGGAAACTGCAGGGCTGTTCTCCAGTGGAAAGGCAGGCTGCCTGTGGCTGGGCAGGGCATTTTCTTCTTAGACTGGGAGGCGGGGCTGTGGCTGTATTCCCCCACCCTCCAGAGCAAAATCCGAATTCTCCTCTGGTGACACAGAGGGACAGAAAAGACTAATCCTTTAACACCCAGTTCAGTCTGAGTCATCCCTGAGTTTTCCTTCTTGCTGTACCTCAACAAAAGGGCTTCCCAAGTGGGACTAGTGGTAAAGAACACTCCCTACCAATGCAAGAGACATAAGAGACACAGGTTTGATCCCTGGCTGGGGAAGATCCCCTCGAGAATGGCATGACAAACCACTCCAGTATTCTTGCCTGGAGAATCGCACAGACAGAGGAGCTTGGAGGGCTGTAGTCCATGGGGTCAAAAAGAGTCAGATACGACTGAAGTGACTTTGCATCCGCGTCCCCCAACAAAGCCCGGACACAAACAGCAGGGGCTTCCCAAACTAGTGGTTACCCGTTGGAGGGGGAGGGGGAGGGGCAGAACAAGGGCCGGGGAAGGGGATACAAACTACTGGGTGTAAGACAGGCTCAAGAATGCATTGTGCAACAAAGGGAATATAGCCCATATTTTATAGTAACTGTAAATGGAAAATAATCTTTAAAAACTGTGAATTAAAAATTGGAAGAGTTTTTGGAAAAAAAAGAAGAGCAGGGGGTTCCCAGGCACACACAGTTCAATGGGGAGCCCATGAAAGTCTCACAGGCCTTAACAGTCCAGGGCTTGGCTTTCTCTCACTGTCCACCAGCCCCTGAGAGGCACTGCTCCTGTCAGAAGCACCGTGAGATTAGTCCCTCATGGAATATCCATCCCAGCTTCTTACTTTTCGGCCCCAACCTCTGGCAGCATCTTCTGGTTTTGAAAGCCCTCAGTTAACCTCAGCAAAATTTCAGGGTTCCCAAACTCCATACGGAGAAACTTTCACCCACATAATAAGTAAGACAGCTAAGATGGTGAAGTTACAAAACTGCCTCCCCCGTCTCTGGTTCCCGTGAAGTTAAAACGCTGAATGATCCCTCATTTTTCCTCCTGGGCTGCTGATCGACCTCAAATCCTGTCTTTCAAACCAGCCCAGTTCCTCCATCCCCAAAGCTACGTTCCATCCTGCCTCACTCTCCCTAAGTCCAAGTCAGGGCCGTCTTATGCACTACACCTCCACCCCCCACCCCCGTGACACTCAACTGGTCCCCCAGCTTCAGTTCTCATAACTGCCGCCCCTCCTTTACCCGGAATCCAATCTCCACACTGCAGCCAGAATTTGTTGTTTAGTCACTAGGTTGGGTCCAACTCTTTGCGACCCCATGGACTGTAGCCCACCAGGCTCCTCTGTGAATGGGACTTCCCAGACAAGAATACTGGAGTGGGTTGCCATTTCCTTCTCCAGGGGATCTTCCTGACCCAATGCGTCTCCTGCATTGGCGGGCGGGTTCTTTACCACTGAACCACCTGGGAGCCAGAATGGTCCTCTCAAAACACTAAGCTGGCCATGCCCTTCTGCAAACACATACCAGAACACCCTTATCAACAAGTTGTCCTCAGGATAAGAACAGCCCCAAATCATTTACCTGACTCAGCTTTGGCCTGGCCCTGCCCTGCCTCCCTCCTGCCTTGCTCTGAGCTCTCCTCCCTTCCCCACCTCTACATCCTTCAGTTCCTCTCAGTTCCTCAAGGCCTTCAGACACTCCCCTACCTCCAGTCCCTTGCCTGGTCAACTCCTGCTCAACCCTCAAGACTTTAAAGGTCATTCCTCAGCCGCCTTTCTCAGCCTGAGACCATATTCAGTTCCCCTGCAATACGCACCATAGCATCCTGACTTTCATAAATTCCAGAACACTTGTAATTCTTTTTTTTTTTTTTTGGTGCCGAGTGGCATGAAGGATCTTAGATCCTCAACCAGGGATTAAATCCATGTCCCCTGCAGTAGAAACACGAAGTCCTAAGCACTGGCTTTCTGGGGAATTCCCACACTTCTAATTCTTAATCTCCCTCTCTCCCACGAACCCGTAGGTTTCACAAGGGCACAGCTGGCTCCTCAAGGCCTGACAGGCTGAACTGAACACAGAGCTACAGTAACAAGCACCTGGAATTTAGGACCAAGGTCATGAAAAATGTCCCACTGGGACTGAAACGGACCAAGCAGCATGGGAAGAGTGAGAGGCACCCACTCAAAGAGGTGACCCACACGTGTATTGCTACAGAAGCTTGGGAAACCTCTGATCTAAAGAAGTTACTCACACATGGCCCCAGGATCAGAAAGTTAAAAAAAAAACTACTGGGTCATAAATTGTATTTTAAACATTTAAATATGAGAGACATTATCTGTAGGGAATCTAAAGGCTTGGCAGCTGAAGAACAAGACGCAGCGCAAGTTTACCTCCAAACTTGTGATTGGGACTCCTTAGCGCTAAATGACCATGACTGGTTCTTGGAAATGAAGCATCTCCAAGATAGGGTATAAGAGGCACGGTCCCTGAGTCCCACCAACACCCAGCAAGCTCATTCTCTACTCCCCATGTAGTGTTTTGATAAATAATTTGGTTGTGTGAGGACACGCCCTCCAGGAGGAAGGTCTCTCCAGCAGCATGGGAGCTCTAAGTGAGGAAACTGATGTCTTGTGTGACATCTCACACATTTAGGCAACTGCCCCTGCCCAAGGAAGATGACAGGCAGGACTGCTCCCACTATCGATCCAGCAAGTTTCTCCACCAGCTGCCCATTCCTTTATTTCCTCAGCTCTCCAGGCAGACCTCGGGACTCTATGGAAAGAAACAGAATAGCGAGAGTACCCAAGAACACCTCGTTAAGTCACCTGGCAAAAAAAAAAGACATGAGCAAGGGTGTACAGGAAAGGAGTATGTTACCGATTCAATGGACATGAGTTTGAGCAAACTCTGGAGATGGTGACAGGGAAGCCTGCCGTGCTGCAGTCCATGTGTCTGCAAAGAGTCGGACACAACCTAGCGACAGAACAACAAAAGGTTAAACAGAAACCTGTGACTGCAAAGATAAGCCCCGGCCTTCAACAGACCTTGCACAAAAACCAACCACAAAGCTCAGCTGGGGATGACAGAGGTCTGTCAACCTTCTTGAGGTTATCTGACACTAGAAAATGACACAGCCCTTGAGCAGAAAGTCCTGTTTTCAGAGTGTCTGACCCAAGGCTCATGAGCTCCACCTGATCCAGAGGTGTGGCCCACCTGGGAGTTTCCTTCTAGGCACCCCCTCCTCCCAACACCATCTTCCACAGGGGCCAGCACAGTGAAATCCTGGGCCAGTTCTCCACACAGCCAGCCAGAAGCAATTTGTTAAAACAAATCAAAACGTTGGCAAGGACATGGAGTAACTGGAACTCCCGTGTCTTGAGGGTGGGAAGGTAAATGAAGTAGAAGCACTTTAGGAAACACTTTGGCAGCAGCTCATAAAGTTAATCATCATCTATCCTATGACCCAGTAATCTGACTCCTAGGCATTTACCCAAGAAAAAACAAACACAAATATCCACAGAAGACTTGAAAATGAATGTTCAATCATGATAGCCAAAATACAGAAAAAATCCAAAAGTCACTGAACAGGATAATGGATAAACAGACTGTGATATGTTCATACAATGGCTACCTCTCAGAGATACAAGGAACTACTGATCATATCACAACACAATGAAACCCAAAAACAGGCACAAGAATTCATACTGAATAATTCCATATACATGATGTTCTGGACCAGGCAAAATGAATCCATGTGAAAGAAGTAAGAACAGTGGTTGCAGTGGTTCCCTCTAGATGGAGAGAGTGGGGTTGAAACAGAAGCACAAGGAAGCTTTTGGGGGTGATGAAAATGTTCTGTATTATGATAGGGGTATGGGTTATCAATCAAACCAGTCAATCTTAAGAGAAATCAACCTTGAATATTCATTGGAAGGACTGAGGCTGAAGCTGAAGCACCAGTATTTTGGTCATCTGATGCAAACAGACAACTCATTGGAAAAGTCCCTGATGCTGGAAAAGATTGAGGGCATCAGAGGATGAGATGGCTGGATGGCATCACTGATGCAACAGACATGAACTTAGGCAAACTTCAGGAGATGGCGAGGGACAGAGAGGCCTGGTGTGCTGCAGTCCACGGGGTAACAAAGAGTCAGACACGACTGGGCGGCTGAACAACAACAACATGAGTTATACAGCTGTATGTATTAATATTTGTCAAAATTCATCAAACTATAAGGCTTAAAAGGAGAAGGCAATGGCAACCTACTCCAGTACTCTTGCCTGGGAAATCCCATGGACAGAGGAGCCTCTTGGGCTACAGTCCACTGGGTCGAGGGGAGTCGGACATGACTGAGCGACTTCATTTTCACTTTTCACTTTCATGCACTGGAGGAGGAATTGGCAACCCACTCCAGTATTCTTGACTGGAGAATCCCAGGGACAGAGGAGCCTGGTGGGCTGCTGTCTATGGGATCGCATATGCAAGTCAGACACGACTGATGAGACTTAGCAACAGCAGCAGCATAAGGCTTAAAATCCATGCATTCCACTGTTTGTCAACTATGTATCAATAAAGCTAACGTTAAAGAAATATCATAAGTCAGATTATGTCATTCCTCCACTCAATACGTTTCAATGTCTCCCCATTTATTCAGTCAATAAATATTAAGTACTGACTACATGCCAGTGGGCCTTAGAAAGCATCACTACGAACGAAGCTAGTGGAGGTGATGGAATTCCAGTTGAGCTATTTCACTGAAAGATGATGCTGTGAAAGTGCTGCACTCAATATGCCAGCAAATTTGGAAAACTCAGCAGTGGCCACAGGACTGGAAAAGGTCAGTTTTCATTCCAATCCCTAAGAAAGGCAATCCCAAAGAATGCTCAAACTACCGCACAATCGCACTCACCTCACATGCTAGTAAAG